CAGCACCACAGCTCAAAGGCATCGATTCTCCTTCTATCATTGCTAGCCATTGTTCAGTTTTCTGATACATAGCAAATAATTGCAAAGGCCTTGGCCTGGTGTATAGACTTAGAGGTCTATAAAGGAGCTCTGGTGGCCTCATGGTAAGGAGTAAATACTACCAACCTGAAGACAGTGGGTTGAATCCACCGCCTATTACTTGGGAGAGAGATGAGCAATATCCTCCTGTGTGATTTATTGTTATATACCACTGAGTTGGGACTACGCCATAGCTGACCCTCCAGCAGGTTTTCAGAGGCAGTTAATCACGTGAGAGGAGATTGTCCATTTTTCTCTTAAGGATCGACTGGTGGATTTGAATACCATGTCTTTGAGTTGGCAGTGAAACTCCTTACCTCCAAGGCACCAAAATTATCTCCCAAGTGATTTCCAGCCTCTGATAACCTACTGGAGGTCAGCTATGAGTTGATTCTGTTTCAGCAACATGTAACAACAACAATGACCTGTGTATCTTTATCTAAAATCATACAACCCTAAGTGGCAGAGTAAAAACTTGGGCTTATGACTTTAAAGTTTCAGATGATTTCTGTCACAGCACATGGTTGGGTATCCTGTGGAATCATCACACTCTGAGTCCCGATCAGACCCTGCCTCTATCCACCTGAGCTTACTCAGAGAGATGAATGAATAAAAGCCCTGTGTCTTCCACATTCAGCTCCTGAAAGCCCACAGATGAAATCCAAGTCTTCTGCCTTGACTTAAGATCTAATTATTGAAAATAATATTAAGGGACTCTCTTGCTCTTTCTTTGCCTTTAAGAAATGGACCTGACATCTGGGTTGAGGGGAGACTAAGAAAGATGGGATAAATTATGTATACTGCATTGAAACACATGAGGGAGAGAACTGTTTAAAAGGGATATATGGTTAGGTGTTATTGTCATGACAGGAGTCCTGAATGAAGGCTGCATCATGGAGTGGACTTGGGGGGAGGGATTGTAAAACAATGAAAGAATTTTTCTTTTACTTTTCAAAGAGAAGAACGAACTAGGGGATAAGAGCGGGCAGGGAAAGAACTGCAACGATGAATGAATGGAAATCCAAAGTCTCTGTAATGGTCATTAAAATTAATAATAATAATAATAATAATAATAGAATTGGATGTAGCCAAAAACCACACATTCAGAATCCTAATTCAGGAGATGGACTTATAACTAGAAGGATATAAGCTGGACATAAATATCCAACTGTTAGGCATCTTCTAAATGCTGAACAAGATACCAAGTGTGTGAGAGGTGACAAAAATTAAGGATGGCTCACAGAATGCAAAGAATTAGGAAAATTGGAATGGAAGAGGGTAGGACTGGTGGCTGCTAGACAGAAAGATGGTGACCTGGGTCTTAAAAGGTGAGTTATATCTGGGTAGGTACACAGAAGAGCGGTAATCCCAGACAGAGGACACAGCCTTGGTGCTAGCCTCCGTTTGGGCTATATTATGGTATAAAGGGAGGGCTAACACAGGATAGACCCTGGTATGGGAAGGCCATAATATCAAAACACAGAGCCTGACACATTTTATTTTAATGTCTATGTCCTAAAAAGGTGTGGATCATAATGTTAGTGAGCCCTCACAGATCTAGGAAGGCATGCGCCCATCCAATACTTCAGTCATACAGAGAACTTTAGACTTACCCCAATTCTTGGGATGAAGCCTGGAAAAGGGCAAAGCTGCAACCTTCCCACTAGATGGCAGTATTTCCTAGTATGACTGCACTGGGGGAAACCTGGGAGGGATTTTGTCTCCAGAGTACCTGGTGCTATGCAGTTGGCAGTGGCTTTCCTTGGAATCAGTGTTTAGGTTCCAGATAATTTCACATCCTCCCATAGAATAAGTCTAAGGATTTTGTTCTGGGAGTGGGAAAAGGAAGCTGTCAGAAGAATCCTCAATAATTCCTGTGGAGCTATTGTTTTTCTTAGGTGCCTTCCACTCATCTCTAGCAACCCTGTGAATAGATTAAAATCCGGCCCTAGGCTCACACGTCCACATGTTCAAGCCCTCGCCGCTGTCGTTGTGCCAGTCTATCTCACAGAGGGTCTTCTTCAGCCCATTGTTGAAGTCACTGTGTTCATCTCATTGAGGCTCGCCCTCTCTTTCACTGACTCTCTGTGCTGCTGTGACTGCTGCCTTCCTCACATGGCTTCACCTGGCCTTTGTACTCACTATAAATGGTTACTGGAAAGACCTCCTGTTACCAGTTTCCTTTCTCTTTTACTTCCTTTTCTCCCTGTTCCTCACAGCAGCTGAGATGGCATCGAACATGCAATCAAGATGCATTGTTAATAATGGGTGACTGGAATGCAAAAGTTGGGAACAGAGAAGACTGGAACTCGGTGATAGAATTGGAGCTGGAGAGAGAATGATCAAATTTTGCACAATCAATGACTTATTCATAGTAAGTACATTTTTTAAGAGACATAAACACAGGTTATATACTTGGATTTCACCTGATGGTATGCATAGGAATCAGATCTATTACATCTGTGGAAAGAACTGCTGGAGAAGCTCAATATCAGCTATGAAAACTAGGCTAGGAGCTGATTGTGCAACAGACCACCAACTACTCATATGTAAGTTCAAGCTGAAGTTGAGGAAAATTAAACCAAATCCAAGGCAACCAAAATATGACTTTGAGTCTATCCCACCTGAATTTCAGAACCATCTCAGGAACAGACTTGAGGCTTTGAACAGATGAGTTGTGGGAGGATATCAAGGGTATCATCCAGGAAGAGTGCAAACGGTCATTGTAAAGACAGAGTAGAAGCGAAGACCAAAATGAATGTCAGAAGAAACTCTGAAAATTGCACTGGAGTGCAGAGAAGCCAAAGCACAAGGAAGAATTCAAGATAC